GCAGGGAACGCTAGAGTTGGTTCCTATTCCTCCACGTCCTGAAATCCAGAATAACAACAATCACACTTAAATGTCACTTTTAACTTTTCCAAGAATTTTCCAAATTTTATTTCACTGTACTCAGCCCTCATCATTTCCCTGCGAGACAAGCAGGATAATTATTAGGACGAACCCCATTGGGCCAAAGGAGAACAGAGCCCAGGGGGAGTGGATGACTTGCCCAAAGCCCAAAGCCCGAAGCCAGCCACGATGGTACAAGGTCCTCCCAGAGGTCACTCGAAAATGTCTTCACACTTTTCACAGCCTCCCTCTGCAGACAAGAGTCTGGAGGGACCCCGTTGGGGAGCACGTGGGGCAGCCTCCCCACGTCTGGACACCAGAACCTGCCCTCCCTTCTCCCACAGAATGAAGCCCCTCCCAGACTTGCTGAAACATGTGCTCTGTGATCAGCCCTGTGTCCCGGGCCAGTCTTTTTCTTTATCAACACGAAAACTCCTGCAGGAAAGGTGCTCTGTGCTTTGCTAGAGGGGTAATGGGAAGCTTCAAAGGGTAAAGGAAATGAGAAAAGATCGGGAAGTCTGAGGGCAGAAGAGGGAAAGGTGTGCAGCACGTGTGTGGCTGGACGCGGCGGTTTCTGGAGCTGCTCATGCACGCCCACTCTTGGCAGTGTCCCCTGTGGGCTGATTGACTTGACCCCAGTCAGGCTTGAGAAGAGAATGCCTCCAAGGGTAACCTGGCTGTGTTCACCCTACATTCACAGGACCCCAGTGCCCGGGGCCACGCCTCGGCCTCTGTGCCGGCCCAGTGATGAGGCTGAACCCTCATCTTAAACATTTCCAGACCAGGAGATGCCTTCACAGTCTCCTCCCGGGTCTCCAGGCTCTGGTGGTTTTGATGTGCTTCCTTACGTCTACCCTCAATCATTCCTGCTGCATTTTTTTTAAAGACCTCCTCTTCTGTTCTCTGTGAAGGAGAGCAGGCATGGTGCCAACAGGCAGGAAATGAAATCTCACTGCTGGTCATTTCCCCCTCTTCTTCCCTCGCCTGTCCTCCCTCCTCCTCCCGTCACCCCGCTGCCCCCCCACCCCCGGGGCTGCTTGTCAGATGTTTCCGCTGTGATGAGCAAAGCCTGTGTGTACAGTGCCTTGATGTGTTGTAGATTTTTGCCGTAAGCCTTCAGGCTTCTCCTTGCAGCCCTGACAAGGGAAATCCCATAATGAAGGATTTCACGGAGCTCCACAGGCCGGGAGAGGCTTTTCTCGCCATCTGTCATTTTTCTTCAAGCCTTGACCTTTCTGTTCCCATGCAAGGCAGGGCCAGGAAGAGGCTTGGGCTGGGGAGCGAGTGTCTGGGTTTGGACCATGGACTGGGCAGGGAATGAACCAAAGCTAGGGGTCTGAGTGATTTTAAAATGGGGAGCTAGCACCTGGCTGGTGTGGCTCAGTGACTGAGCGTCAACCTATGAACCAGGAGGTCACTGTTCAATTCCCGGGTTGTGGGCTCAATCCCCAGTGGGGGGCATGCAAGAGGCAGCTGATCGATGATTCTCTCACATCATGAATGTTTCTATCTCTTTCCCTCTCCTGTCCTCTCTGAAATCAATAAAAATATATTTTAAAAAATAAAATAGCCATAACCGGTTTGGCTCAGTGGATAGAGCGGCCTGCGGACTGAAGGGTCCCGGGTTCGATTCCGGTCAAGGGCATGTACTTTGGTTGCGGGCACATCCCCAGTAGGGGGTGTGCAGGAGGCAGCTGATCAATGTTTCTCTCTCATCGATGTTTCTAGCTCTCTATCTCTCTCCCTTCCTCTCTGCAAAAAATCAATAAAATATATTTAAAATAAAATAAAATAAAACAGGGAATTAAGGGCGACGGTGCACACCTCAGGGGATGTGGATGAGAGGCGGGGTGGCGTGAAGAGTTTAAAGAAAGGAGAGCCCCTCGGGTCAGAAGGAGGGCCTGCAGGCCTGCAGGAGCAGAATAACCTAGGAGCCCATGCCTAGCCATCGCTTGCCAGACGCTTGGGAGTGCAATTGTTACCAAAGAAAGCTGAGGCTTTGGACCCCCCAAAATCTGGGTTTAAACACTGGCTCTCCCCCCCCCCTTGCTTGCTATGACCTTGGGCCGCTCACTTCATCTCCTTAAGCCTCAGTTTCCTCATTTGGAAGTTGGGGTTGGTAACGCAGACTTCACAGGATTACTCTGCAGAGAGCACAGGGCCCTCTCTGGTGCTCAGCTTCGCTGCCACTGCCCGCAGCTGCGCAGAATCCAGGGTGGCTGCCCGCACTCTCAGATGAGGAGAAAACCTCAGTACCACCTGGAAGATAACAGGAACCAGACGCCCTGCTTGGCCTCTCCTGCTGACCAGGCTCCCCGAAACTCTGAAAGGGGCCCTCACCCCAGGACAAACAGCCGATGGGAAAGCAAGCTCGAATCTTTGAGGCCAGCGAAGGGCCATCTTCTGACCAACTTTCCCATGTCAGGTCTATTGGGAGACTGAAAAAAAAAAACCCGTCTCCAAGCTCCATAATCAAACACCCGCCCAGCTCGCCTCTGAAAGGGCAAAGCCGCTGAGATGCACAAGGATTGTAATTGTTTGAGATGTTGGTAACATTTCATCTTCCCAGGGACCTTGTTCATTTATCAGGGTTCTTAAAACCCTTTTGTTCATAAGCTCGTGGTGAGCACAGAAAACATTCTATCTAATATCAGAGCACAGCTGTTCCACAACAGGGAGACTTAGGGAGAAAGCCCTTAAAACAAGGACGGGGAAACCCCACCAGGGATACAAACATGGGAAAAGCAACCTTGGGGGAAGGGGGGCTAGAGAGAGGGCCTCTTGAGCAACAGCTGCCTAACAAGAATATGCTGTTTGGAGAAGTGTGAGAAACTGCATCGCCGCCTCATGGACAGTGGGCCTCCAAGCTCTCAGTAAACACTGTGACCAAAGCAGGCCCCAGAGCTGGGCTCCTCCTCTCTGTAGGGTTCCTGGCAATCACGCCGGAGGCCCTACCAGGGCCCCTAAAAAATGTTTGAAGTAGGTGTGGAGCCCTGAGTAATATCTTCTTAAGGGCCAGTGTGGCTGGGGAAAAAAAAGCCTAGTGGAAAACTCTGTCCATCCAAGGCCACAGAAGACCAGGAAATGTTTTCTAAAAGGGCTTTGATTGCTCCTGAAAGCACAGCACAGAGTGAGCAGGGCCAGGCCAAGGCGGGGACCCAGTGCCGCTCGCCATCGGCTGTGTGAGGTTGGAGCTCACAGGTCCGGGAGTGTAGGGCTTATTGACAGCTCCTAATTATTGGGTCGGGAGCTATGTAGACCTTCACAAACTCAGATAAAGGAAAACCACATCAGGGTTTATGGGCTGTGTGAACAGAGGAAAGCCATGTCCCATTTATGAAAAGTCTGAAGAGTAGAAACTGTTTAAATGTAATTCCAGTTCATGCTTAAAGCCAAATGCTAGGAGGGGAAAGCGGTAAGTCAATGGAGGTACATTTCCAACCCCCCAAATTACAGTTGCCTGGTAATCCGACATAAAGACATCGCAGAGGTTATGAGCATGGGCTCCGGAGTCAGAAAGACCTGGATTTAAATGCTGGTGCTGGTGACCTTGAGAAAATGTTTCAACCCTCTGTGCCTGGGTTTCCTCATCAGTGAAATGGGAATAAAGGCACGTACTTCACAGGGTTGCTCTGAAAGTTACCTTAGTGCTATATGAAAGCATTCAGGAGAGGGTGGCAACCTATTGAGCACCCTCCCCCCCACCCCGCCCCAAACAAAAGCTATGGTTTGTTGCAGTACTAAGAAGGGAACTGAGGAGGTCTCAGCTTGACCACTAATTGAGTCTTCTAACACCCCCAGGCCTCCATTTTCCCTGTCTCGGGCAAACACTGCCTGGGCACTTGCTCTGACATGAATACAGTGGGTCCAAGAAGCACATAAAATGTAAAGACATATATAAATGTGATCTATGATTACTAAAAGTGTCCTTACTGTGCAATTTATTTCCCTATGTTCAGGAAACTTCCTAATGCAAGAATTTTGAATGATCAGTCAATCAGTCTATGTGACACTAGAGATTTGGTCTCCCACTTTGTTTGGATCCTGATTCTAACAGATCAATTGCAAGACAGACAGACAATCAGGGAAATTTGATGATATTAAAATATTACCAACTTTTGTTAGTTGTTACAATCATATTTTATATATATATACATATATATATGTATATATATATGTATATATATATATATATATATAGGTTCTTACATGATTACACATGGAGCATTTATAGAGGAAATTATATGATGTTTGGATTACTTTAAAATCATCTGTGTGGGAGGGGTGGCTAGGGGTAAGTATGGATAAAAGAAGGTGGCCATATGTTAATAATTGGAGAAGCTGAGAGTGGAGCACATGGGAGTTATTTATATTATATTCTCTACCTTTAGTTTGGAAGTTTTCCATAATAAAAGGGAAAAATAATACCAGAAATAGCCAAAAGGAGACTGATGATTAACTATCCGTGACGGCAGCTGAGGACCAGGTAGAGCGTCCTAAGGAGGGACAGTCAGCTATGCCGGCTACAAGGAAGAGGCACAGTGATGGGAGAAGGCTGGAACCAGATGGCCTGCCACAGACAAAGCCTGTGATGTGACCGAGTCCCTTCTGTTTCCTCGATGTTAAAGTGAGGAGGTGAGACTCAAATGCCTCTTTCAGTCTTAACATACGACTTTTTTAAGGATTTCAAAATCAAGTACACTTTGCATATTTTCTGAATGGAATATATAAATCTCACTTTCAAGTGAATGAAACCATTTAAAACATACCAGACATGCTCTCAATTTAAAGAAGCACTGTGGGAGAGCGTCTGGCTCAGGCAACAAATCTTTTGGTGAAGTCTATACCTTCTTCTCTCAATTTTTTTTTTTTTTTGTGGCTTCCAATTTACTTGTTACAGCAAAAGGTCAAATGACCCAAACACACAGAATTTGCAGAAATTTTTCCAAAGTCCATATTTATGAGCTGAATATTAATTTGAAAAACATCCTTTATGTTTCAATTCTTGTTACAGAGAAATCTCTCAAAAACTGGAGTCTACTTTCCTATCTCAGGACAGAGAAACAGAGGCAACCTTCTTGGTGATCTGGGTTAGGTGCTTCTTTGGGCTTGAGGTCACCATTGGGCGTCAAGTCTTACTGTCCCAGGGCTGGAGATGTAGACAGCGGGGGTTGGAGATTGAGTCGAGTCTACACTGATGTCTTGGCATCTCCTGGAAGGTACATTTTTAACATCAGTCCGTATAAGAGCTAGTTTTATCTCATATTCTTCGTCAAGTGGAGGGCAGAAGAAATAAGAGCCGTTAATGACGTGTTTTTTATTGGCTGAATCAATTAATCAAGGTTTTATTGAAATGGCTTGTCTCCCTGAACCCCTCATTCCCAATTCCTCTCACTTTTCCCTGTGTTTTTATGAACTCTCTCTACTCACAACACATTTGACACCAACTGTAGGGCTATTTCTCCACACTAATCAATTCTCCAACTCTCTGGGCACGGAGTCCTGTAATTCAGTTCAATTCTGACACTAACACCTGGAGTTAGCATAGAGCCCACGGGTTAGGGGTTCATCCCTGAGGCTGCCCCACTTTGGGTGCAGTCACAAGTCCCATGTTGCCAGCCATAACCCTGACCATAAATCCAGTATTTCCCACAGACCTTCCTCAGATTCGATCTTTTGCTAGAGCTAGAGTGGCTCACAAAACTCAGGAACAGTCTACTTACTAACACCAGTTTATTTTTATTTTTTTAAATATATTTTATTTATTTATTACAGAGAGGAAGGGAGAGGGATAGAGAGTTAGAAACATCGATGAGAGAGAAACATCGATCAGCTGCCTCCTGCACACCCCCCACTGGGGATGTGCCCACAACCAAGGTACATGCCCTTGACCGGAATCGAACCTGGGACCCTTCAGTCTGCAGGCGGAAGCTCTATCCACTGAGCCAAACCAGTTAGGGCACACCAGTTTATTTTAAAGGATATTATAAAGGGTACAAATGAACAGACAAAGAAGTACATAGGGTGAGATCTGGAAGGATCCCGAGCAAAGGAGCTTCTGTCCTGTGGAGTTGGCATGTACCACTCTCCCAGGCACAACTGATCAAATCATTGGCCACTGGTGATTAACTCCATCTCCAGCCCCTCTCCCCTCCTAAAGGCTGGGGGTGGGGCTCAACGTTCCAACCCTTCAGACATGCCTAGTCCTTTTGGTAACCACCCTGCATCCGAAAGCTCCCTAGGGACCCACCAAGGGTGGCCTCATTAGAACAAAAGACCCTTCTGTCACTTCTATCACCTAGGAAATTCCAAGAGATTTAGGAGGTCTGTGGCAGGGGACAAAAACCAAATAGATGTTTTTTATTATGTCACAGCTTCCCTAAAGACTTAGAGTAGAACATTGTAGACACTGCCTACAAATGTCACATCTTCCCAAAAGTACATGATTTTGTCTAGCGAGGAATTCAACACTATTTTGTCCTCTCAAAAGCACCCCAATTCACTGATCACTGAAAAGGCAGATACAAATGACTTTGGACAGTCAATAAGCCAACATTTACTGAACAACTACTATGTACAGCCACTTGCTAGGAGCTCTAGGAAATGCAAAGGAGACAGAGGGTCCCTGACTTCCTTTTGTTGAGGACAAGTCAGAGATAAACCCCAGGCTTTGATGCCTGGGGTTTCAACATCATGTTCAAGTCCCAGCTTTCTCCTTAGCTGCTGCAGACTTGGGCCTCTCTTTCCTTCTTAGTAATATGGTGATAATAATAACATAGATCCACAGGGTTGTCAGGAGAGTTAGATGGGATAATCCCAGAACAAGTTACAATAGTGCTTGGTACATGCTAAGTGCTCAAGAAGTGTTGTCTGAGTATCTGAGAAATGCATACATGCAAGAAGCTGCTAGCACAGGAGACATCATACCAGAGAGCTGACAGGGCACCAACACCCGAGACCAAGTGACCAGCAGAAGGGGCTGATGCGGGAGAGGTCCCGGGCCTGGTGGGGCTGGCTTCCAGAGTGTCTGAGGCTTCCATCACCAGAGTGCCCGTCTCAACCTCAGCCCACGGGGGACCCCTGCCCGAATGAATGTGGACTGGCCTGGACCTCGGAGTACCTAGGCTTTCTGTCCCCTCAACGGAACTGTGAGTTCCATGGGTGTGGGGGGATAGCAGGTCAGGAAGAGCTTCATGAAGAAGGTGGTGTTGGAGCCAAGGTCTCAGAAGGTTAGGGGCAGAGACAATGAAGAGGCCCGCTTAAGGATGGCCCATCTCCCCTCTTGGGGCTCAGGCCTGCGGCCAGCGCTGCCTGGTTGAACACTGTACACTGTAGGGAATGTGTCCTCCTTCTCTCTGAAACCCCCCTGCTGCTGCCCAAACAGAAACCTACTTTTTCTTGCCTGGCTCTTGGGAGAGCTGCTACCTACACCCCCTATTCCACAGAACAGCCCTCCTCAGATCTGAAGGCTGAGGCCCTGCCAGCCCTTCCCTCCAGTTTTCTCTCTTCCGAGCACCATGTTCTGCTGGTCTCCCAGAAGCCGCGGCTCGTCGTTGTGCACTGCCCAGCACAGGGGTGCCAACCCACGATGCGCTCTGAGGCCTCCCCTGGCAAAGCCCCAGGCCTGTGGCTGCCATCTCATCACCCTCTCCACCCCCTCCATCTCCAGAGTTGCAGGGACGTGGTCGCTGGCACCTCTTCCCAGTTCAGCTCAGAGACGCTCTTCTCGGGACCCTGGCACACCCCACTCCAGGCCATCAAAGGAGATTTGAAGTGAAAAACAAGACAAAACTGAGAAATGTCCTATTTTATCACAAAATATAAGCAGTAAAAGATAATCCCAGCTTTGCCACTTACCATCTGGGCAAGCTTGGGCAAATTAGAAAACAACAACTGTTCTGTTCCTCAGTTTCCCCATCTGTTACACAAGGATGACTGTAGTCCCTGTCATAGTGCTGTTGTGAGGATCACAGGGGTTCCTGTGCCAGGGATTGGAAGCAGTGCCGTGTACAGAGTGGGGGCACCGCTGGTATCATGTTGTCGTCGTTATCGTGGTTAAGAGGGCAGGGCGCTGAATCAGCAGACACACTTAACCTCTCTGAGCTTCATTTCTTCATCTTCTTAAAATGGAAACAATAACAGTACCTACTTCATTCAATTGTTGGAGAGCCAAAGAGACGCTACATGCTCAGGGTATTGTTAATGCTTGAGCACAATGCTTGATACACATTAAGTTAGAAAAAGGTAAGCCAAAAAAAAAAAAAAAAATCTTAGGGAAAAAGAAGAAAGAAAGACCCTGGCTAGAAAAGTCAGGAGAAAACTCATTAAGGTCTGAGACCTGCAGCCCAGCCTCCCTTAAATAGTGCACCCTTGCCTGCGCTCTGTAGCCCCTCCAGCACCCCACCCCCAGCTCCTCACCTTCCCTCGACTGTCTCGCCAGGAGTCTTGCGCCACATAATCACTGAGCTAAACCAGAGTTGAATGAACAGCGTGTTTATTTTATTATTTATTTATTATTTATTTACTTATTTTAGAGAGAGATGAAAGAAGAGAAAAAAAAATACACATCTATTTGTTGTTCCACTTGTTTACACACTCATTGGTTGATTCTTGTATGCCCTGACTGGGATTGAACCCACAACCTTGGCATATTGCAATGATGCTCAAACCAACAGAGCTACTCGGCCAGGGCAAATGAACAGTATGTTTAAACATGCCTTCCCGACCCCCAGGAAATCAGGAGAGTAAAAAAGAATCCCTTTTAGCCCAGAGTTCCACCTCCTGGGAGGGTGGCTGCTGTGGGTGGCATAGTTCCCATGCATCAGTCACATGACTCCGAGTGCAGTGATCAGAAGCCCAGGCTTTGGCTTTCGAAAGACAGTGGTTCAAGTCCTGATTCTGCCAGTTACTGGGATTCAGGTAAGTGCTAGCCTCAATTTCCTCCTTCATAAAACGGGAATTGTGAAAATTACCTCACCATGGAGTCGTGAGCATTAAGAGAATTATTTGGAAGGAGCCTAGCACAGTGTCTGGTAGATCGAAGTGCTTAATAAATTTCAGCCACTGTTATCCACTCTGGATTTGTCGAACCCCTGAGGACAGCAGGGCATTTGGTTCAGGAAGTGGTTCTAGGGAAAAGCTGGGAGAATCTGACTAATTTTACTGGTTGGGGGTCAGGAGAAGAAGGGTGTGGCCATGGCCTGAGCCCCTGGAATGCTCCTGCCCAGTGGCCCAGCGTTACTGACATGTACCCATCCTGCTTTGGGGTCAGCGTCCTCCTCTGGCTGCAATTGTCATTCCCGTCACCATTAACACCCCTCCTTTGCAGAGATGTGAACACTCTCACATTGTTTCTTCTGGCCAATGGCTTCTCTCTGGCTTGTGATTGGTACCCCCGAGATTCCATCGCAATGCAGGCATGCCAGCTATGTCAGCGTGACTCGAGTTGTGTGTGGCTGACATCCACATGGCCCCGTAGAAGGCAGGCTCCAGCAAAAGGTTATTTGGAATGCTGCTGAATGCTTGATGTCTGTCAAGTTATCTTTTTGGGGTTAGGCCATTAAAGTCGCATCTGATGTTTTATGGAACAAACAAGATAAAGTGCATGTTGAATTTCATGGGGCATGGAAAGAATTTTTATGGATGTAGACAGAATAGCAGCTAAAAGTAGGTTGGGATTTTTTTTCCCTAAAACTTTGTAGTGCTTCTTCCACATGGCTGTTTCACTTGAGCTCAAAGCAGAAACAACCCCCAAAAGTGAAGCATAGAGGCTGCCATAGTAACAGATTCAGTAAAACCTGGGGCTATTAGGCACCTGTAAAGAACAGGGATCCATCTATCTGGCTCATATCATCCCAATCATAGAGCTGTCTACTCTGTCCTTAAATCCTCTACCCAACCTTGATCACCCACTCTGAAGAAAAACCCTTTTCCAGGCAAATCTGAATCCACTTGGGTGCTTTTTTTAGCCCACGCCTCTGACATCTCTTCTCCCTCCCCCTTCCCAGGTGACCCAGGCTCCAGATACTCCAGCCACACCAGCCAGTTCCTGGGCCTCTGAGCTTACTGTGCACTTTCCACTTTGTTCCTGAGCTTTGTCCCATTGCCCAGAGCATCCTTCCTTTCCCCCTCTGCCACTATGCATCCAACCAAATGGTCTAACGGAGTCCAACCAAATAATGGGCACATTGCCAGGCAATGATAGAAGGTTGA